AAAAAAAAAAAAATTAATTATATAAATTTTTGTTTGGTTTGGTTTGTTTTGGAGACAGTTTCACTTTGTCACCCTGGGTAGAGTGCGGTCAGGTCATAGCTCACAGCAACCTCAAACTCCTGGGCTCAAGTGATTCACTTGCCTCAGCCTCCCAAGTAGCTGGGACTACTGGCATCCACCACAGCGCCCAGCTACTTTTTAGAGCTGAGGGTTCTCGCTCTTGCTCAGACTGGTCTTGAACTCATGAGCTCAAACAATCTACCCACCTCAGCCTCCCAATAGTGCTAGGATTACAGGCTTGAGGCACCGCACCTGGCCCTTATAAATTGTTATTTTGATTTTTTTCTGTTTTGTCTGAAAGGCCTGATCACCAAGGCATTTTATGTCTAGTAAGAATAGCCCATCATTTAAGGACCAGAAATGGTAGCTGAATTAATTCCTTGCCCCAAAGTTTAAGGAATAATTGGTGTCTGTGTGCTGGGCCTTTTATGTGTGCTTGCAAGATGTGAATTAATTTCTTCTAGGTAAGAAAGGTGTAACTTCATGATGTGTTACATATCTGTCACCATTTAATACTTTAAATAATTAAAAGATAAGTTTCTGTGAGACATTTTTGGAGACACTGAAGAACTGAAAAAACTGCATCACTTGTCAAGCATGTCTTATGGTTAGGTACTCATATCTATTTCTTTACTTCACTGTTCTGCAGAAACAAGATTACCTTTAACCACTAACATTAAATATTTTATTATAGTTTTTGTTTTCCTTGGAATTTTATAGCTGCTGTTAGTTTGATTTCCTGTGATTTGAATGATTACATGTAGATATATTTAATTTTGTCTTCTATCTTTACAGTCCATATTTGCTCCATTTCTTACTTTACAACTTGCGTACATGGGACTATACAAATATTTTCCAAAGGTAAATTAAAATGTCTTCTAAATTATGGTGATATATTTGGGTTGATTGATGATTAGCTAATTTTAAGAACCTAAGAATATTAGTCCTACTTGTGGTCTGAGTCAGTACTACTCAAATGTGTTTTCTGTCAAGAAGAGTGGCTGTCGCCTATAATCCTAGCACTCCCGGGGCAGAGGCGGATAGATCACCTGAGCTCAAAAGATCAAGACCAGGGTGAGCAAGAATGAGACTCTATCACTACTAAAAATAGAAAAAAACTAGCTGAGCATGGTGGCAGGTGCCAGTAATCCCAGCTATTTGGAAAGCTGAGGTAAGGGGATCAATTCATCCCAAGAGTTGGAGGTTGCTGTTAGCTGTGATGCCCTGGCACTCTATCCAGGGAAACTGAGTGAAACTGTCTTAAAAAAAGGAAAGAAAGGGGTGAGACCTGTGGCTCAAAGGAGTAGGGCACCAGCCCCATATATCGGAGGAGGCGGGTTCAAACCTGGCCCTGGCCAAAACCTGCAAAAGAAAAAGGAAAGAAATATTTGGCCAATATTACAGAACAGAATGATGATGATAGTCAGTATCTACCTGGTCTGCTTGACTGCAGATGTATACACAGTTTTATAGGGCTTGGTTTGCTTGACATAGAAGATAACCTTATTTGTGTGATTGAGTTATGTGTGATTGAGTTGTGTGATTGGCAGAAAAATGGCTACTTGGCTGTTACATCTAATGGGCTGATAGAACCATGTAGTTTTAGTGGATTTGAAACATATATATATATATATATATATATTTATTTATATATTTAATTTCTGGTTAATTCGAGGGTACAATCAACTAGGTAACAATGTTCTCATTGAAACATATGTTTTTGAAGGGTCAAATATGTCAAATAGAAAAAGTGAAATAGTAAGGCCGGGTGTCTTGACTCACTCCTGTTATCTTTTTTTTTTTTTGAGCCAGAGCCTCAAGCTGTCCCCCTGGGTAGAGTGCCATGGCATTACAGCTCACAGCAATCTCCAACTCCTGGGCTCAAGCGAGTCTCCTGCCTCAGCCTCCC